TCCCCATCCTCTTAAATTTGGGTTTGGTTCGGCTGAGTATTATTAGTCTCCCTTCAATTCGCTCGAGGGCTTCGATACCCATTACCGCTCAGGTTAAAATGGCCTGGATAAAATGCAGCTTGTGAGCGTATGGTAATCTCGTGTTCGAAGAACCGGAACCGGGTTAATGAAGCTGATAACGTCCATTTGGAGAGAATGGATGGCCTATTTCACTGGCCCGGTAGAGCAGGAAGTTTTGCTTCAGAAATTAACGCGCTGAGCGAAATTGGCATGGAAAGTCATAAGCCTTGCACTTATGGTGTATTTTAGTTACTGCCCAATTTCGGCAAACAGCAGTGCACTTTGGCTTGTTAAAAGCTAAGCTCGTCAACTAACTATTCCAACTCCATACGATATTTTCCCAGCATGTGGAAATACTGGAGGAGAGGGCTGAGATATCAAAAATTAATCGTTTCCATTTTAACAAAAAGACGTGGGCAAAATTTTCGTCCCGTTTAGAATCAGTTTCAAAATTTAGGGCCTAAGTCATGTACAGGTAAAGACAGTGTTATGTTCGATTATTCTTAACATAGCGCTTATGACAATCTACATGTATTGTCATAAGTTCCGATTTCGCGTTTATGATTCATTTCCACCGTCGCAACCCTGCGTTTGTAACCCACTGTGCGTGTCCTGATTTGCTTACATCGGCCTCAAAATTTTGCTCTTAATTTGTTCAGGCCGTTGCATTCTGCCATTCTGGTCCCCCCCCCCGGCTAATCCACTGGTAGGATACTTTAAGCTGAATGGGTGTCTGCTAAATGTCACTGGGAATGACAACAGAAAATAAGGTGAGGGGGGAAAGCAAAATATTTCTGGGCTCCTTGTTTTCCTTATCCCGAGCAAGCTTCCAGTGACGGAGTTCAAGTTTTTTGTCATTTGCCGTCACGATTCCATTGTGGAACACAGAAAATTGAAATGTCAGGAGCCGTCGGCGGGTATTTTCAGTTGTCATGTGTTAATTAAAGGGACAACGGACCTTGCACGCAGGAGTACATTGCTGCTGAACCAGATGGGAAAATGCGGAGAGGTTTCTGAACGCAAACTTGGGATGATGGAATAGATCATTAAAGCAGTCTCAGTAAACCAAATATCCCAGACAACAGCGAAAACACCTGCCAAATTTGACTTGACAATGAATATTCAACGTCTTGACTAGTCTAATTTACAAATTAATGATTAAGGAACTCTTCTACCTTAAACGATTTTTGGTTATCCTGTTTATGCCTTCTGTGTTCACAAACAGGGCGTTTGACATTTTCCCGAAAAGAAGATATGTTTTGACAACTCGGTTTTTAACAAGAACAAAATATGAAACAAAAAAATGTCAAGCCGACGAAATTATCTCAGTTGCTTGTCATTTCCGAGAATTTCTCCAAAGGGAGCCATTTAATAATGTTTGTCAACGAAGTATACTTATGTTTGGTGAAGCACATACCTTTTTCTTTGAGACTGTACTTCTCCATTTTGCAAAAAAGGTATAGTGTCGATGCATAAGCTGCTAACTGACGCGCAGATCCTTGTCTTTTGATTGGTGGAGCTCATATCTCGTGAAATTCATTATTGCTACCATTCACGGCGGGGCTAAAAAAAAAATCCCACTCACCCATGGGATGTATGTATCATACAATACCAGCATAAATCCCTGTCATGTGATTGGTGGCTCGATGGTCACGTCGTTGAGTTATTCGTTCTATTCAATGGTGCCCGTTTAATAGATTTCATTTCATGTATTTATCTCGTTCTTCGTAAGAAAGAGGGGAAAATGTCTGGACGGGAACCGTGTCTAACATTGTGCGGTAATGCAGTGGGCGGCGCTTCGGATACAATCTGTTTCACAAGCTGGTGGACGTTAATTCTCGAGGACCGTTTCTAACAGAGGAGGAAATAGGAACAACCCTTGAAGGAGATGCTGACGTTGCTGACACAAAGGAACAAATTAAATTTGCCGCCGAACGACTAGACAAATTTGTAAGACAGACAGGAACATCTNTACTGATTCACGGCTATATAGACGACTGTTCTTATAGCGATTTAACACAGGACTGGGAAGGGGGAAAGGCACGTTTATGCCCTCCAATTTTTTGCTGGTATTGTATTTAAAAAAAATGATGAATGTTTTCACATTCGTGCAGTGGCAAGAACAATAATTTCATTCGGTGACAGGAGAAAATATTCCATTCCAATCGGCTTTGCGTGGTGGAATGGAACATTGCATCTGCCACCTCATGAAGTTCTTACCACTGCACTCATAAATATTCATTACATGTATATGACATCATGATTTTCAAGAATCAGCAATAAATGGGAGTGCTAATGAACGCCAGTAATTGCATGCATAAAAAAGTTTTTTTCAGCACAGTATCTGAACTCTTGTATTTTTTTCCACTTGGCATTCTTGCGTGTTAATTTTTGAACGCGCGAAAATTACATACACCAGTGAAGATTACACGGTTGTCCGTTGACCGTCACTTTTTCAAAAGCCGGACTATTTTTGTCCTGACCTGTGAGCTAATGAACACACAGTAGCTAATTTGAACAGTGTTGAACATTTCTGGAAATGTGCATATGCACAAAATACAGAGCGGTCTATCAAAGGTAGTATTTCCATTCTGTTCACCCCACCCCAGAAACCAACATGATTTATCTGTAATCGTTTTATTCGTTATTGTTCAATTAAGCGGAACTTATCGCAGCAGTGTCTCTATCCTTCCTTAAACCTGTTCATGATCACACTTTATCTCATACCATCAATTAAATACTTAGAAATATATTTTGTCTTTCTTTTATTTTTTCCTTGGTCCTAGTCGCCTTTGTGACGGGTAATGATATTCCTAACGAATAATACACAGCATACAACCCAGGCTGCATTAAACCTTTTAACGGTATTTGTTATTCATGACCAGTGCGCTTAACTGTGTTATTTTACGGTGCCGCGTTTGCTGGGAAGGCCTGTGAGTTTGACGGTTGCCAGGCAGCGGTTTGTTCTTATTAATCCGTGGTCGAGCAATGTTCGCAAAAAGTGGTAGTTGGCACTGTTAACCTTAATCCTTTTGTCTGAAAGTTAGGCTTATATACGTTAGCACAAAGAAGTACAAGGTTCCTTTTTTTCCTGTACCTGAGATAAAACCATTGAAATTGGTCAAGGATTCCACATGAGTGGGTCCCTTGCCAACAACCCCATCCCAAACAAGCACTACGACTGGAAGAAATACGACTTTAGCGGATCCGGAGAAAAAGTTGCTCTGAACACAGCGCGAAGCATCGCATGATCAGTAGTAATCAGTGTCTTGCAGTCAACCCCGAGGAATTATGATATGTGACGAGTTACCGAGTGGGACGTACAGGTGGGTGGAATGGCGGGTGTGACGTCCGTGTCGTTTATTGCCCGTCTTCTCGCTGATTTGTTCTGCACCTGTGCTGGGGTGCGTTCCCCAAGGTGCTGTAACTTGTCAATTAGGCCGACATAGCCGCATTAGAGATAACTCACCGCGACAGGCAATTATGCATGTACATGTATATTGCTTCGGTACAGGCCACCTCGTGGGGGCGGAGCCATGAGTTCTCCCGGGGGGATGTAGATGCAAAAATACACTTCATAATGGCCAATGGAAAATAATGATAAGGATGACAATCCCAGGAATGTAAAACAAGCGTTGTTAGTGTCATGAGGTTCTCAGTCATTTTGTTAGGGTTTTTCCCTGCGTGGGAGTGGCATCACACGCTCCCCCACGCATGCAAAATCCCCGGGTACCCGGCGCATCCGTCGTTCCGTTTTAATTAATGAGCGCAAAATGCTTACAATGCATCGTGTACAGCAACAGACAAAAAAGACAAATTCTGCAGATTGATAAGGCCCTTACCCGATACTGTAATTTCAAAACATATCAGAAAAAGAGTACACCCACGGAATTTCACTCTTTTTTCAGTCCGACGTTCAAATGGAGCTTCTATAAAAATGATTTGCCTTTGGGAATAAGGTCGTTATTTCATAGTTTTGCGGGTAATGCTGGCCCCAGATTTAGAGCTACCTGCAGGAAGTCTAATTGAACAATTATTTTCAAAAATATGGATCCATTCTCAGCACACACGCTACCAGCGCGGCTATGTACGAAAGTCATGTAATCAATTGTCTCGTAGGAGGAATTTTACTCCCACCCCAATATTTGCAGAGAACAAAATGACTTCAACTATATCAATGGCACCTGTCATTTTGTCTCTAAAACTACGTTGAATTGAACCTATCGCCCCCAGCAGTAAAAGTGGGTTTTTTTTATAAACAGTGGGCCTAACGTTACTTATGATGTTCGAACAAGGAGAGCGTATAGAACAACCCATATCGCATTAGTAAATATTTTCATTGTTTAAAATGTTTAAAAGCATCGGATTTTCACCGTCTGGCTGCATGTGACGGTACAGCTAGTGGGAGGGATAGGAGATAGCTTTTAACGACCAGGCATTTTTCTTCCTGTCATATTTTATCTTTGTGCAAAATTCGCTTTTCCGTACCGATGGTGCGTAATAGTAGCCATCAACAACCTATGTGTCCTTCAGTGCCGATGAATTATTATGGATAATTATTATGCATGGCTACTGGCGGCACGCGTAGCTTTTCCCCATGTATTATTGGTTGAATCAGTCGCCGAGAAAATGTAAGGGAAAAAACGAGGTTTTTTTTTAAACAAACACTGAGGGAGAACCATCATTTTCACCCGAGTAGTTTTAGAGCCAGTTATGGCAAGTTTATCATTCAACCATCGCGTTCACGTAGTAGTGCGAAGACACTCAAGGGTACATATCTCGTTGAAATGGAAAAAATATATATCCATGACAGCGAACGCAGCTCAGTGTATCCAAGCTCATACAATGATAAAGCAACAGTTAGTTTCTGAAAACCGTAAACCCAGCAGTAAAAAATTTCGATGTCGAATTCAACAAACAAAGTCTTAGGCAATACTCACGCCTTGGCCAGTTGAAAAGTAGCGTCATGTCGTCGCCTAGGATGGTCTAAATCCTGAGCAGAGAACGGCTGGGCGGTATGCCGGGGGATCAAAGACAGTCTGTATGACGGCAGGCCGGGGAGGAATGCTCGCTACGCTCTCTACACTGCTACAGTGGTTGGACTGCTACTTCGGGGAAGGGTAGGTGAGAATGTGTGCGAGAGGAGTGTGTGTGCATGAATACAGCTGCACCTACCCAGCATAATAGTCATGGCCAGTACATGGGAGGCAGCAGAAAGCGGCCCATTGCGATGGTAACGGCTCTTTTGCCTCGCGCGGTGATGCGTTGCTTTGGCTATTACCCGGCGGCTGTTGTATGCATGGCTTTTTTTAACTCGTCATTTATTTCCTTGTTGCAGTGCACGTATCAAAATATACAAAAGATCAATAAATGAAAGGTTTTTATTAAATTAAATAAGACCATAAGGAGTGGCGTAAATCTGTGCCGGGAATTTGGGGGTGGGGTTGGGAAAGGTGGGGGGATGACTTGCCTGGCTATGAAAATTTGAAAAGCAGGCGGGGGTAACACCATATGATTCTATATTGAGGTCGATGTTTAGAGGTATGATATTGATACATACCTGTAATATGTATTCAGAAGGGCATATTTATGGCTTTTGAAATTTTTTTCCCTTACTGAGTGATTGAACGCATTTTAGTCGATAGAATTCTTCACCATCCGCTTTCATTTTTTGCTCACCACAAAAAGTAGGGGGTGATCTAATTGCCAACCCCCAACCCTCCCACCTCAAAAAAGTGGGGGGATCACCCCCACCCCCGGATTTACGCCTATGACCAGAAAACATTAAAAAGAGGGAAAAGAGGCAAGTGCGGAAGCATAATATTCAGACGACAAAGTCAAACAAAAATGCCTTATTAAAAAGGTTAAGACAAGAAAAAAGAACTAGACCAGGAAGACTGACAACAAATTATACATGAAAGAAAGACAGTTACGGTACAGTCAAAACAAAACACGGACAAACACAAAACAAAGCAAAGACGAACCAACAGACCGAGATGTAACAAAAAGTGGAATTACCAAACACTAAAAACATTTAGAACCAAAGGATGATTAGAATGAAGAAGAAAACGATGATTAGAATGATAAAAGAGAAGGAGCTACCTCAGATAATCAGAAACTGGGTGCTTCTTGAAGTTACTCTTAAAGCATCCCAGAGATGACTGTGACTTAATATTACCATCAATACTATTCCAAAGACGGGGTCCAGAGAATCTCAACGTATTCAGGGAATAGGGTGTAGGTGCAAAGGTAAAAATAGATTGAGACGTGCTGTGGCTGTGAACAGAATGAACTGCGGTAAAGTGAAACTGAAGGAAGGTTGTTAACCAACCTCGACACCATGCGTTGCGTGCGCGTACCTTCACTAGACGGGCAAGGCATGGTGGGAGCCAACATGGCATGGCAAGATCGTACCCGTGGGAACGAGGTTGGTATAAGTGGAATTCGACAACCAGAATGAGAAGCCATTACTGCGGTGGCACAACGCTCGTGGAATGGACAGGTGATACGCGCGCGTTACATACCTCTTCGACCAATAGGGTGTCGTGATTTGCCAAATGCACGCGCGCGTCAAGCTGAAGAATGTGCACATGAGTGCGGTGCCACCGCAGTTATGGCGTCCAATCAGATTAGTCTATACACGAAAATCTCTGTGTGAAGTTAATGAGTGAGTATCACTAAAGATTGTTATGTGGTACCGGCAATTTCCTTGCACTGACTGGTGTGATAACTATTTATAAACACTTCAAAAAATATTGAAATTATAGAATCTGGAGAGTTAAGCACTTGAGAAAGAAGTTTTGCTTCTTCAATCCGCCCTGAGCTGAAGTGCACCCTCACCGGCGAAAGAACGAGACAGATGGTACTAAGGCTGCATCCAAATCTCTTACCTAGGGCTAGGTCTAGGTCTTCACTCCATTAGATGCGTGGAGACGCGTAGACAATAGACCTAGCCGTAGCTCTGGAAGCCCGTTTCGGACACGGCCAAAGTTTTCCAACTGGGTTCTTGAACGTGTTCGGCATACACGCAAAGTCTATAATATTTGCGCGTACTCGACTCAGCGTGCTCCGTGTCAAACGTGCATAAACTTGCGCGCCTATGCGGTGAGTGCGTACCAAGCTTGGGGCCCTGGCCGAAACGGGCTTTCAGAGCTACGGCTAGGTCTACTGTCCATGCGTTTCCACGCATTTCCAATGGAGCGAAAACCTAGACCTAGAGACTCGGATGCAGTCATAGACATAAGTAAACCCAGTGTCTGTGGCACCAAACCACAGACATATAAACGTATGTCTGTATACCAAACGACTGTCGATTTCATCTCAAAACACGACGTCTTTTTGTTCGTGCTCGGAGCGGATTAATGTTGTTGATCTGTCCCTCGACTTAATGATCCTTGCCGGGTTTGTTTCCAATGTTTCAAACCAACACTAAACGGACACTTATCCTCCATCCACCTTCAAAAATGTGGCAATGATCAGTCAGTCAATGTCAGTGATTTTGTTGCGTTTCTCTTTGTGGTTTTGTTCAGAAGCTGGTTGAATTCACAGAACAGTCGCTGCATTAACTCAGGAGCTCTACTTGCCTGGAACGGGAAGACAAGCGTAACGCGATGGGCCTTCGCCTCACCCGGCGTCCAGGCCTTTAATCGACAGACCATCATGGGCTGGGGATATTAGGGTGTTGGGCGCGAACGGTCGACCAGAATCTGTACAGTCGGTCGATCACGCTGCATTATGGGTCGATCTTGAAGGAAATCTCGACTGTACTCCCCCTTTTCAAAACAATCTTCCACAGCCGTGAATTAGAAAAAAAAAGGAAATGGGTTGTTGGCTGAAGGATCGACAGATTTTGCCGCAAGATCGACCGATTGCGCCCAACATGTGCACTTAGGAACTTAATTTAAATCCCAACTGAAATAAGTGTACTGAAATAGACTGCGTTGGGCAATTTTCACCGTGGCCAGGTTCTGGTTTTGAATTTCAAGTCACACAAAGCTAACTCAGAGCTAAAGGGGGAAGAGAATATTATCGCAAGTAAAATGAAATATCTCCAGGCTAAGCCTTGGGGATGAAAACTCTGTACTGTGTGGATGCCGATTTTTGTGAATAAAGCTGAGAGCTAAAATATTTCGGGCCCCTTAGCCAATATAAGATTTGCGTGGAAAATACTCAATTAACTTCAGTTATAGTCCTCGTTTTCGGGAAATAATTGGCTGTGTCTTACTTACCATGCGCACGGCAAGCATAATGTCAGACTAGGTTCTGAAGCACAGACACCAGGAAAGTCAGGAGACATAAAAAATGAGTCAAATAGTTCCACTGGTCAAGCCCAAGTGTAGTATTTGGGAAAGAACGGTTTTGAATTCAATTCCTACTCTCTCTTACCTAGTTTTCCGTGGAAATTTATCTAATAACGTGATCAAATCAATTATTAAAAAGTATTAACGATTGCATAGTTGTAAAGTAAATGAACTGTCGTGGGGGAAAGCAGAATGTACCGTGACGGGCAATTCAATGTTAATGCGAAATTAACCCCAACAACCCCAGTCTGTTGAAAGTCAGGGTCTGCATTCTGTCCACCATTCGGCGAAATTTGTTTAGTCTGTAGAGGGCGTCTGCGATGTTTTGCAATCCTCCTCGACCAAGACTGGTACCTTAAAACTGCATAATACGGTCGTCCACAAATGACGGGAGAAGGCTAGGTATCTCTGTTCACTCGTCAACGTGATTTTTGTGAATTTATTTTGCACTATTGCCGTAGTGGGGCCTAGGTTATTACGTTTTCGGCTCTCAGGTTCTTTCTGTTTTGACTTCCAGTTTGTTAGAAGATTGGCTACTATGCGGGCTGCTCACCGACTTGCTAGACTCCAACATTCTCTGAACTGGTAGGCTTACATGTATGTAATTCTAGAAAAGATGGAATGAATGGTAGATAAAAGATGACTCTGAAAATGGTTGATTATGATGGAACCACTGCCATGAGTGACTGCCTGGCTAGGCAGGCCACAGTCATGACTCCGTACTGCCAGGCCACAGTCATGCCAGTGCGACTGAAGGCGGGCCAGCTGATTTTGAAACTGAAAGGGGGGGGGGATGTTGAAAAAAGGCATTGTTAGCTGACCCCCTGGCCTATGCTCATAACATCAGGAAATTAAATGTACATGTACGTAGGCCTATGCCTAATTCAAGTTAAAGGCCCTACCCCCAGAACGGTGAGGTCCAAAGTCCACCCTGCTCCAATGAATGTTCGTGGTAGCGGGGGATTTTTTGGTCCATGATGTGAGGGCCTTCATCATACTACCAGATTTGATAACTTGGTATTTTTGGAGATTGTAAAAATTATGAATAAAGATTTATAGAGGGCGTAGCTAGTTTCAATGGCAGCAGGTGGACTTTTAACTTTAGCAAAATGAATGACCAGAAATCTGTCTGTCACAAGTTAGACCTAACCGTTAAAACAAAGGGTACCCCTATAGTGTGATTAGATTCTGAGTAAAAAAAAACATAGGTAGGCTACACACACAAAATATCAGTTGGCTATCATCTCACCCTAAACGTTTTGGTAAAAAATGTGAGAAATAATAGCCAATTACTTTGCCAGACTTTTCAACGTGCTAGGAAACACATGGTTCGTTTTGTTTGGCCTTAGAATATTGAACTCCCCTGCCATCCACTAAAGATATTTCTGGTGTATCACTGCGTTGCACAGGTTGCTGATAGCACTACATCTTGCGCTCATGCCACTTCTGCTAACCCTTGAATTAAGCTCCGCTTCCACATCGCCATGGCAACCATCCTGCCCGGCCATAAGTGACTTTCGTCTCTTCGTCTCCAGGTACTCTCCCCGCATCGGTGGCCCCTCCGTTGCCCAGTGCTCCACGGTTGCTCAGAGCGGGCGAGGGAATCCCCTGCTTCGCTACGACGAGGGCTTGCCAAGTTTCAGGTCCATTGAGGTGGAGCACGTTGTCCCCGCCATCAACCAGATCGTGGGGGATTTTGAAGAGGGGCTAGAGGTTTTAGAGTCTCAGTATGAAGGTGAATTTTCACACGATGACTCGCGGCATCGTAAATGACGCTAGTGAGACACTGTCACAGTTGCAGTGTTTATCTGACGGCTATAGACCTTTCACTTGTCTGCCCCTTTTTTCAGCTTCTGCCTAAAAATACACATTTGCTTCATTAGTTTTCACATTCATTTTGTAGTGTTTCAATAATTAAGTGGGATTTTTTATTACACTTTGAGAATTATTCTTTTGCTAAGTTACTGGGGGCTAGAAAGTTTGCCAGTCACTGCTTATTAGTAAAATAATGACTCTGTAGGGCTGAGTTGATTCGAATAATTCACTATTCGAGTATTCAACCTTCAATTTGATCGAATGTCCGAACATTCGGTTGTATCAACTGGCAGATTGTCGATGAACAAACCATATACAAAATCAGTTGCAATAATGCACACAATTGTACATTATAATCTA